AATCAGAACAGATTCAATGTCCAGACTAATTAAACATCCATTCAAAATAGTTGCGGGAATTTAGCCCCTCAGATTTGGCAAATCCAGACTACCAACTTAATAATGCTGTATAGCATAAATGGGAAAACTAAGAGATTAAGGAATCTAGCTTAAAAACAGTGACAGCACTGATGCAAAGCTTCTTGATGACCATTCCAAAGCAAAACTTGCATTGCTGAGCTGTGGAACTGTCAGCTTTACTCAAATAAAGTTCTCAGCATGTCTTGACTTTCCCTCTAAAGACAGAGAACAATTGTTTTTCCCCTCAAAGTTGAGCCCTGACTTGTCTGAAAGCTGGAGCTTCCTCTCCTTGAGCTCAGTTGCTACGTAAGGCTTGGGAAGTCAGGAGTCAGAGCTCTGCCAGCCACATGCAGGGCCATCACTTCAACAGGAGGCTTCTAGCATTCAAACTAAGCTGAAATCAGAACCTGTGACGTTTCCCCATACAATCATATTTAAGACAATTCAATTGTCAACTTATATCTGATCCCATAATTTAACAAATGGCAGCGTCCTAGGTACAAATACATACATCATCAGTAACTGAGCTTAGATAGAGTTTGGTACAGGTTTTTTTTTTAAAGTTGGGTAGAAACAATTTTAATACAAAGTTAATATTTTTTAAATGTTAAGTATACATTTAAAAACTGTTACATTTAGCTGTAAAAACTTTTCTGGGAGCGCCAATTTGCAATGCTAAAAGAAGGCAGACAGGAATCATCAGAAGACACTGATTTCTAAGCTTAGTCTTATAATACTCAAGTTCTCAAAACAAAATGTATTTTAATTTAGTTTAACATAAATTTGAAGTAGTGTGACATAGTGGACTGCCTTGAGGCTAAGAAGTCCTGGGTTCAAGTCCATCTCTCTCTCTTTCTCTCTCTCTGTGACTCTGGGTCAAATCACTTAAACTCTCTTAAGACTATAAAGAGTCAACTTGGTAGAGGCGTCTTCTCACCTGGGAGTTCTTGTAACAATGAAATTATAGGTCTAGTGCCTATCCCTAATTTGTGTGAGTGTATGTGTAGGGGTGCAGTGTACACGTGAATGAAAGAAAAAATGAGATGGAGGGAGGAGAGAGCACAGAAGGGGGAGGGAAGAGAATGTAGTAGATACAGGGTTGGATTTGGAATCAAGCAGGGCTGAGTTCAAATCCTGCTTCATATACTTAAAGGCTACCTGACCCTGGGCAAATCATTTAACCTCTCCATGCCTAATGAACATGGACTGGATGGCCTCAAAGTTCTATGCCAGCTCTAATTTATGAAATGAAACAAGTAATCAAAGAAAGCATCACAATTTCAAAAACACTGGGAATCAATGGCAGAATGACCTATTTATTTTTATATCCTAAAAATGCTTCAGATCACATACTTCTGAATTACCACTAAATGTCTAATTATGATAAAGATGATGTTGACTAATTCAAGTATGATACAAGATAATTTCATTTTGCCTAGTAAAAATATTTAAATATGATTTTTAAAAAAATTCTTTCATTTACCAAACTATAATGAAATGAGATTCATGTGAAATATGTCCTTCCTCTCATCTATTTCATATATTTAATAGAGTGTTTAACAGTGACAAATACAAAAATAATAGAAAAAGTGACTTGCTTGGGAAGCAGGGTAGTGCAATGGGAGGGGGGCCTGGCTTAGAATCCTGGCTTCCCCTTACTTGGGACAGAAGTGATTTTACAAGTGACTTCACTTTTCTGGGCCTCAGTTTCCTCATCAGGGACTAGGACAAGATGATCTGGACAGCCCCTTTCAACTCTAAATCTAAGTCCTGGGACTGATGACACTAAGTATACAAACTGCAGGCAAAGTCTCAGGTCAGCTTCAAAGAAAATGTTTTCTGTCATTGTTGGTGTCTCAAATGTGAAATGCACAAGAACATCACTAGAAAACATGTTTCATCACTCTTCTCCCAAGCTCTGCAGATCTTGGAAGTCACATGTCTCTGTAATGGCAGCTCTGATCAGGCAGGGGCTTTCTCAGGCTCACAGATTTGAAGGTGGAAGGTGCTCTGAGGTCAGTCAACTAGTCCAACCCTCATTTTACAGGCCAAGAAGATGGGAAGATAAACTGCTCTTCAGGAGTCTCCTTGAAGTAAATGGAATGGGCTGGGAAATACTGGTGGTGACAGAGCTGCTGGTTTGCCTCCTGTCAACAACTGCCCTAGAGAATCAGCCTCTCCTCATCAAAGGAAATGGTTCAACCTTCAGCAGCATCGAAGAGCTTCCACTTTCCATGCTCCCTAGTCAATGACACCATAGCAGGAGACTATGCAACAGCCGCTTTAGCAGGAGCAGCACCTACCCCACCAAGCTCACCTTCACATGCCCACGGAGTTCTACTCTCGCTAGCTGTTCCAAGGTCATTCTTGCTGTGGTGAACTCTCTCTCTCAGCAAGGAGAACATACTACTTTAAGGGGTATGGTATGTATACAGACTTGACAGCTGGAGAGTCTTGGTACTCCAAGCTTCCTTGTTTACCAAAGGTAAATGGTTTCGCTGTAAGTCTCACATTCAGCAAAATGTTTATAGAATGGGCATTAAGACAAATAGTCAGTATGATGTCAGTAAATGCATACAGTCACACAAGCCAAAAAGGAAGCAGAGAGACCTAAGTAGAAATAAAGCTTCACAAACTCATTACAATCAGCAATGTTTAGATCTTCATAGCCAGCTCTAGGCTTCACAACTTTAGCAGGAATAGGAAGAGTCAGAAAGGATTCAGATAACAGCAATGGAGATGATTAATAAGTTGAAAAAATATAGCAGTGGGTAACAACGAAAGAAAATGGATTTGGTCTAAAGAATTGTGAGAAGAGGCAACTTTAAGCATCTGCATTAGAGTGAGAGCATCATACTCAAATCTACTAATGGACTGAAACTCTTAGGAGAATACTAGCTCAGGCTGAATATTTCACAAAACATAAATCCATAAAATGAATGATGATTTCTAATGTGTCATGTTTAAAAAACATTTTGTAGCTATATGCTTAACACTCAGACTTTGGGACCGAATAGGATCCCAAGAAGCAGGGATATTACAATGTATCAATGGACAAAATTAATAGGGATGTTATCTTTCTTAGGAGTGTGTGGTATTAACCAATTTTGAAACATAAGCTGCCAGAAAAATCAGTTTCAGTGTTTTAAGGTGCCAGGTTATTAAAGTAAATTAAAAGTTACTGCAGACTTTCATAACTAGTTCTTCAGGAAAAGACCAAATGTTGGAAAATGGGTTTAAGCTGGAGATCTCAAAGTATTTAGTTTAGACATAAGGAAAAATGTCTGACAGTCTAAAAACTCTTTAGCAGTAAGAAAAGGTTACTGGGAGATCTAAAATCAATCTTCTCTTAAAATATCTTTAAAAATAGTTCTGCCTGAAGCAAGGGGAATGGACTATTTGACCTCTCAAGGTCCCTTCCAAGGCTATGATTATGTGATTTTAACTTACAGGCCTGCGGTGTGAGAAGGACGTCATACTGTCACTATCTCTTTGACATAGCTAAGGATACACCTAAAATTTGCAGTCTGAAATGAAGCTTAACATGACAATTAAAATTTGATTACAAATCCAATACTTTATTATAGCCTATCTTTCAATTACTAAGACCTGGGAAGCAAAATTTCATCAAGTTGATGAAATAAGTGTAACTTCTAAATGTTACTATGTTACAATTACAATGGCACTAACCTCCTAAACATTTTAGTGATATTATTACTATTGTTATCAGACCCTTGAGAGGCAGTGCAGTAGAGTGGACAGGGTGCTGGCCTCTAAACCAGCACCAGCACGACATGGACTGGAGTTCTGCCCCTGGCTGTGTCACTCAGGGAAATCCCTTAACCTCTCAGGGCTCTAGACACCTCTCTAAAACAAGCTGCTGAGAAGGCTCAGCCTGCTTAAGTCAAGGGAGTTCCCTACACCAGAAATCACAGCCACAGCCCGGCCGGGCCCAAGCCCTCTCCCTAGCGTTCCAGCACCTAGCACAAGGCACAGCAGATACTTAATAAGTATTTACTGGTTGTAAAAAAAGAACTGTGTTCGTCCTCATCTTTTCTCTCTCTTTTTTAAACTTTCAGAGATCATGAACCTCGGGTCCAAAGTGCTCCCTGGCCCACCTAACAACTGGCACAGAGCCCTTGTTATTTTTTGAAACTTACTACGAATAAAATTCAAACTAATCTGAGTTTAAAAGGGAAAGAGACCCCCCATCCCACCCCTCGCTCAGAAACCTGAAGTCTGCTCCCTCCTAAATCCGAGAGCCCCCGGCCCCACCAGCCTGCCAGCCTGGGCCCGGGGCTTCGGGGCCGGGGCAGAGCCCAGCGTGGGCCCCGGCCCCCCTGCTCCCCCGGACGCCACAAAGTGTCCAAACAAAGGCAGCTCGGCGGCCCCACTCGGCCGTCCCCACCATATGGCCCCGAATTCGGGTGGGCCGTGCCTAGGGGCCGGCCGGCTTCACCCCGGCGGCTCGAGCGGCCCAGGGCCGCGCCGGGCCCAGTGTCCCCCGGGGGAGCTCGTTACCCGAGCCCCGGGACGCGATGCGGCCTAAGCCAGGAGGGCCGCGCCGGGCTTTCCCGGGCCCTCCCGGAGCCGAGGCGAACCCGGCGGCGTCTCCCCAGCGACCAACGCGGTGCCGGGGCCTGGCTCCCGGGGCACGGCGGCGGACGAGGAGGCGGCGGCGGCCCGGCCTCCAGTCCGTCCGGTCCCGCCGGGTCCCGCGGGCCTCGCACGGCGCTAGGCCGCGCCCGCCAGGCCCAGGCCGCCGCGTCCGTCCGGTATCGGCCGCCGGGCCCGGGCCCCGCCGCTAACGGGCCCCGCCGCGGCCTTCCCCCCGCCACCCCATGACAGTGCAAAGCCTCGGGCCGGGCCCGCCCGGCCTCCCCGCTTCCGTGTGCCGGCGGGCCGGCCGGCAGGCGGGCGGGCGCGGCCTGGCCTCTCACCTTCATGTCGGGACATCCTAGTTCAGACGGTGGCGGCGCGGCCCCTCCCGGGCTCCGGCTGCACGCAGAGTCCCCGCGGGGGCCCCGGCGCTGCCCGCACCGACCGAGCGTCCCGGCCACGGAGCGGCCGGCGGCGGCGGCGGCGGGCAGGCGGGCACCCTGCCTCCGGCTCCGGCGGCTCCGGGCTCCGGGCCGGTCGCGGGGGCGGGGTGGGTTCGGTGGCGGCGGCGGCGGGGGCAGCGCTGGCTCCGCCGCGGCGGCGAGAAAGAGGAGGAGGAGGAGGAGGAGGAGGAGGAGGAGGAGGAGGAGGAGGAGGAGAGGAGGAGGAGGAGGAGGAGGAGGAGGAGAGGAAGAAGAGAGGGAGGAGGAGGAGAGGAGGAGGAGGGATCGGGGCCGGGCCGGGCCGGGCCGCGCTCGGCTGCGCGGCTCCTCCAGGAGGCGGGGCCGACGCCGCAGCTCCGCGCCGCTCGCTCGCTCAGCCGGCGCCCGTCACCGTGACACGGTCCCTGTGCGCTGGGCGGCGGGCCCGGCGGCGCTCGGCGGCAGTGGCGGTGGCGACTCCGGCTCCCGCTCCTCCCCCTCCCTCCTCCTCCTCCCCTCCCCCTTCCGCCGCCGCCGCCGCCGCCCCGCCTCTCGCTCCCGCCTCGGGCCCCGCAGCTGCTGCCGGAGGAGGAGGAGGGGTAGGAGGCGGCGGCGGCGGCGGCGACGACGACGACGATGACCACGCCGGCGACGGCGGCCGAGGAGGCGGCGGTGGCAGCGGCTCCAGGCGCTCGGCTCTCGGGCCCGCGTTCGCCCGCAGGGCCGAGGGCGGGGCGCTGCCGCCGCCACCGCCTCCTCGGCCGCCGCGGAGGAAGAGGAAATGGCCGGGCCCGCGGCGCCCCCTCGGACGGACCCTCCGAGCCGCCGTCGCCGCGCCAGAGCGAGGCTGCGGCGGGGCCGAGACCGAGGCCGGGGGTGAGCCTAGGGCCGGGGCGGGTGGGGCCGGGGCCGAGACCGAGGCCGAGGCCGGGGCGGAGAGTGAGGCCGAGGTTGAGCCCGGGGCCGGGGGTGAGACCGGGGCTGAGGCTGGAACCAGGGCCAGGGCCGGGGCCGGGGCGGAGAGTGAGGCCGAGGTTGAGACCGGGGCTGGGGCTGGGACCGGGACCGGGACCGGGACCAGGGCCGGGGTTGGGCCCGGGGCCTGGGGTGAGACCGGGGCTGGGGGTAAGAGTGAGGCTGGGCTGGGGACTGGAGTACGCTGTGCAGGAAGATCCTGTAGGCCGGCCCGGGATTTGGGAGTGCGACGGGAGGCTCCAGACGAGGGAGCGGGGCCGAGCTGCCCGGAAGGGACCCTTCGCCCGAGAACTCCGAGCGCCGGCAGCAGCTGGGCCCCGGGCCCGCGGAGCCGGGCTCCCGGCACTCTCTGCACCCCCACCTACTGGCCATGTGCGCGGCGTGGCCTGGAGAGCGGCCCCGGCCTGGCGTTCGCCCCGGGGCCGGGAGCCGCCGACTGAGGCCCGGGGAGGCCGGTCCTTCCAGCTCTCCACGTGCGATCCCATGTAACGGGACAAGGACAGTGGGTGTGAAGCGGCAGTTCTCCAATTTGAGGTCTAGCGACCCCTTAACATCCTTAAGAAGTATTGAGAATTCAAAGACCTTTTGTTTATGAGATGTGTGTCTGTCGATATTTACAGTATTAGAAATGAAAAGTGAAAATTTAAAAAAAATTTAAAAACATTTATGTTTAAAGTTTTGAGTTCAGAACGGATGAAGTTTAAAAATATTAATTCGTTAAAAATAATAAGAAACTCATTTCAGGTTAGCGTAAGTGATGTTTTTATAAAAATAACTGAATTTTCCAAAACAAAAAATAATTTAGTGAAAAGTGTCTTTGTTTTACATACCTTTAATTTAAAAGTCTGGCTTAATAGGGGAAAAAAGCTCAAGTCTCATGTCTGTTTTGATAAATTACTTTGGTTGAAGCTTCACAGGAATATGCACCTTTTTGCAACTTAAACCCTTAGAGAGTTGCTTTGAACACTGAGACTTTAAGTAACATGTAGAGGCTGACATAGCCAGTGTGTGTCAGAGGCTGGCTTTGAACCCACATCTTTCAGATAGGAAGGTTAACTTTCTATCCAATACTCCACACTGGCACTAGAGGGTAACAGCTCCCAATTATATATCACTTGAGCAGTTCCCATACATAATTTCATTCAATCTTCACCGGCCCTGGGAGGTAACGGAATTATTGTCCTGAATTAACAGATAAACCGAGGCTCAGAGAGAGGTCAAGTGAAATACCCATATCATACTTGGTAGGATTGGTCATTCACTGAAGGGGGATTCAAGACCAAGCCTTTTTGATTCTGAACTAGCAAGCTGCTTCTCTGCATCAACTGAGCTAATAACTATACAACACGAAGCACAGTGCCTAGCACATAGTAGGTGCTTAATACTTGTTCCCTTCCTTCCCCTCCCTGTAGACAAGAGTGTGACTCATAGCCCCTGCTTCTAGAAGTGTACAGTTTATTAGTACAAGGGTAACAGCACCAGTTCTGGACTGGGATCAAATCCCAGCTACCTGGTGACCTTGGGGATGTCCTTAACTTCCCTAGGCCTCAGTTTTTTCATCTGAAAAAGGGAGGAGGGTTAGACTAGAAGGTCTTTGAGGTCCCTTCCACTTTACATCTGTAAACGTATGTTCCTGTTAAGCTCAGGTATCTATTGAGTGCGAGACGTAGAGCTGGAGGGTACTGGGTATGTTCCAGATCACAGCAATATTTCCTTAATTTGATCTGTCATTACCTGAGTGAGAGCCACTGATGCATAAAAGGAACTTCCTTAAACATTTTTGGGTCTTTGACTTCTGAAGACCTTTCCATGAATTACGATAATCCATGCACTGGGAGAAATCATAAGAAGACACTTCCATAAAAAAAAAGCAAAACCACTTCAAGAAATAAGTGATTCCTTTTAAGTATTTAACAGTAGTATACTGATCTTTCAAAAGATCTCTGATTTCATGCCCTGGGAGATGGTCTTCAAGAGTCGCTCTGGCCACCCTGGTGAGGAACCCTTGCACTTAGCTAATGAAGGTGGTCCTGAGTCAGTAAATGGAGTCTGTCATTTGGCCTACACTTCAAGCCTTTCATGTGGGTAGGATCAGCCAGAACTTTGATTCCTAGTCTAGAATAACCTTTGAGAACAAATTCTGTGTCACAGAAAGGCAGTGAAATAGGATTTCAGGGGAGGAGTATAGTACTGCCAGTATAAATAGCATTGGAGAAAAAAAGGATGATTCTTTTTCAACAGGTTGGGTTTGCTCTTTTCCACATCATTCCGTCCAACAATGATTCAATGCCAACTGTACTGTTTTTCTCACTGTTTATTTAAAGGAATCGTTTTGCATTTCAGATAGTTTAGGTAAATCAAACCATATGGTAGCACTACCAGAGTAGCCAACTCCCCTTCCTGGATTACTCCATGGGCCCTTCAGATGTGTATATCCATTTGGGGCCTATATTTGCTAGTAAAGGCGGCAGTAGAATCAGGGAGGAGATGAGGTACATCTCTGCACCTACGGTATTTCCACTCTAGCTTCAGGATGACTTTAGTCCAGGCCCGATGTATCCAGAAGAAGCCCAGCCTCACTTCTACTTGGACCATCTTTTCTCCACCTTTAGCCTCTCTCCCCAGAGAAGAATAAGGATTCCTGTCATCTTGGGTTGAAATTTGGAATGCATTTTAAATATTGATTAAGAAAAGTAGGAAAGATATTACTAATCTTCAGGTAGATTATGGGTGCGATAAGTTTTGTGGACTACAAAACAATAATACTGTTTTTTAAATAGGAAAATATTTTCCACGTTCCAAACAGTTGAATTTAAAGTGAACTTTTGGAGCATAACCTTTAAATTGGGACTTCCTGTCCATGTGAAAGGTTGATGTGCTGACTTATCTCACGAAGAGCACCAAAAAAGAGAGATGAACACCCAGAAAAGAGAGATGAGCAAAGCAAACAGATCTACTAGGCCCATTGTAAGCTCCATCTGAGGAAGGTTAAAGGCAGGTCAGAGATTGAGAATAAACAGACTAGGAGGTCCCTTGAGTAATGGTGTGATTTCAGGGGCACAGGAAAGACCCTCTGTGCCCTCCCCCCCCATCCCTTCCACTCAGCTGATGGACTGCTAAAATAACCATCGGAACATCCTTTCTTTCCGTGTTCTCCTTCACCTTATCTATGTCCTCGCTGTCTTTCAGGGTTCAGATCAAGCTCTTATTCTTCCATGAAACTTTCACTGACCCAACCTCAGACTACATTTATTTCTCTCATCTCAGCTTCCATAACACTTGTACATAGCACTGAGCTTTTATGCCATTTTATGAATTAGTACCATCTACTCAAATTGTACCTTTGTACTGGTCACCCTGCATACCTCCAATGCTGTCCCCCCTTCCACCCCCACTTGCCTTCAAGAAGCAGTTCAAAGGCTTATACGAGAAATCTTCCCATTCCTTCCAGCCACCGGGCCCTTTGCCTTGAAGGTGATCTTCCTTTTATTCTCTAGGTATCTAGTGTGTGCCTGTTTATATTTTATCCTCCCCATTAATAAATGAGTTCCCTGAGGTTATAGACGGTTCTTATGTTTTTGCTTTTCTTTGTGTCCCTGATGCCTGACAGTAGTAGGTTCTTGATAAATACTGGAGGACAGTAACTTCTGTCTGTTTTGCATGCAATGCTAAGGATGCTTCTGGGTAGCTAGGTGGCACAGTGCATTGAGTGCCAAACCTGGAGTCGGGAAGACTGCTCTCCCCAGGTTCAAATCTGGCCTCACAATGGCTAGCTGTGTGACCCTGGCCAAGTCACTTCACCCTGTTTGCCTCAGTTTCTCATCTGTAAAATGAGCTGGAGAAGGAAATGGCAAACCCCTCCAATGTCTCTGCTAAGAAAACCCTGGATGGGGTCACAGAGATTTAGATGTGACTGAAAAACGACACAGTGACAGCAGCTAAGGACACCGCCTTTGACACAGTGCTCTGTAAATGTGTGCATGTGGATGGTAAAGCAGAAGGCGCGTCAGGGCGCTTGGGAGGGAAGAGGGGAGAGGACACCCCTGAGGGGGGCTGTTGGCCGTGGCTGTCAAGAGGAAATGGGCCTTCCCAGCCGCTTAGCTGAAGTCCA